TTGCTAAGGTTAATTTTTCTTACAAAATTATAATCTTTAATTATTTTAAACATTTTTTTTTTCTTAACTCTATCGTGTGAGTGTTATATTGTCTTTCTCACACGTTACATATATATATTTACACGTATAGGTTTGTTTCATCCCTCTTTTATAATTTATTTTGCAAGTTTTATTTCCTATATTTGAGTTGATTAAAATTTTTGTATATTTTAGTAGGCTTCATAAGCTTTATTAAGTGATTAAAAATACATCTTGTATAAATTACATCCGTTAAGGGGTCATGACTATGTGTAACATTCCGATGATCGGCTTTACAAATAAGCGAATGTGTTTCTGTCAAATTTAGCATTCTACCCTCTTTATTAAGTCTACCAATATATATCGAAAATAACTCCCTGTTATTGTTCATATCAGTTATTGAAAAGTGGTGGTAATTATCATTATTTTTATCATACGATTTTATATTTAAATATGTTAATATATTTGGTATTTTCATTTTATCAAATAATTTTTTGTCAGTTTCCCGTTCCAAAACACTACTACAGGATGTCGGCGATCAGCATGCAGATATCTTACCATGTGTGTTGTAGTCAGAGTTGGTTCCCCCTTGTAGTTCCTAGAACTACTCAGATTTCCCAATAAATGTGACAACACCTCTGGCTTCTTCATTGAAAAGCATCTGACTGCAAATCTCTCAATCTGGTCGTAGTGTTTATTTTTATGTAATGTACTGTATTTTCCGTCCTTCGTTAGAAGTTTTGGTTTCCCTTGTAATCGTATAGGTTGGTATTTATCCAAACTATTTACCATTGATCCGTTAATCAAGGCCCAATTCTTGTCTGGCATTGGAGCGAATTCAAAAATCGACAATGACAAACTTGATATGTGAACTTAAAATGAAATGATTATTAATGACAATGTATATTATTATTTATTTGATATTAATTTCATTATATAATTTAAGTGAGTAAGAGCAGTTTGAATAACCACTCCAACGTGCTCCATTGAGTATCTCTATTAGATAATTATGTCAGAATTCTGTTCTTAATTTAGGGTACATTAACGGGTAATTCTCTAAAGGTATTGGTATGTTTTGGTCAGTGTGGTGAGGCTCATTTTCATCATTTAAGGTGGGTTTTTCTATCGTCGGCGGTTGCAACTGCCGTCGCGCTGTGATCTTTTTCGTAATTAATTTATTCAGAACTGATATCATGAATAATATAAGCGTTAAGGTAACTATGGCACTGGTAACATATAGAATGTAATCCTGATGGTTTCGACTATTTTGATTAGTTTGTATTCCTAATATTATTTTATAGTCGTTTATTTTATAGCGCGTTTATTCGGACATTACTACTTGTTGAATCGAACGTAGTCCGCTCATGTTCGATTGCGGCTCGTTTTCCGACCTTACGTTTTGACTAGCTCTTTCCTCATCGTTACGACGTTTATAACACGCGCTAATATCATGTCCTAATTTCGAACAGTATGTGCATGTTAATATTTGACCATTATTAGTATATGACACGTCGGTGGTCTCGTAAAATGATTAAAATTATTTCTACCGGTTGTATTGTTTCTACATTGGTTAGCAAAGTGTCCCTCCTTATTACATGAAAAACATTTAATAGTATTTGACATCGCTCGTATATTATTATCATTGTTCCTATAATTATTTCCTCTATATTCCTGCCTATAATTATTGCCGTTATAGCCGTTTTGTCTATGGTTGCCATTATTTTGGTTGTTTTTATTTTTATTATAATTGTTATTTTTATTAGGATTCCCATTATTTTGCCAATGTCCCTCGTTATTCCTATTGCTCATTGGACTGCTTATTTCGTGCATATTTCTAAGATTAATGATTTCCTTTTCTGCGGCGATAGCGATGTGCATCGCTTGTTCGAGAGTTGATGGGTTTTTTGTTTCTACCTTGAATTGTATTCTATCGGTTAGCCCACGGATATAGCTAGTTAATGCTTGTTTATATGTATTCCGCCGTATTGCGGTCGCGTCGGAAGGGGATTCTCCCGCGGTTTGTGAATCGCAAAGTTTTTGAAATATTTCTTTTAATCTCGAATTGTACGATAATACAGATTCATCTTTATTCATTTTAAGTAAATATAACTCCATTTGTAAATTGTCCGTTGCGTACGGAACTTCAAAATTATCCTTTAAGATTCTTTTTACATCAGCCCATTCATTTACTTCCCTATGTTTTAGCGCATTAAATGCTTTACCAGTTAATTTTGATGCGATTATCATTTTTGTTAGTAACGGAATTTTTGTGTCTTCGATAGATTCTAGGACTTTATCGCACACATTTAAAAATGGGTATAATTCATTTTCACCAGAGTACTTCGGAATAGTGTTATACACGTCATTGTAACTTAATGTTTCTATTATGGGTGACATCTTTTTACTCCTATATTTTTTTACGGGCTCTAACGCTTGATGAATTATATTTTTTTGACTACGTGTTCCTATCACACGTGTATCGCAAGTTATCCCAATGGACTCGTCCAAATTTATCAATTTAAATGTTTTATTTAATGTATCCTCTATACAATTATCAGCCTTTAATTCTTCTTTAACTAAAGCTTCTACCAACTCTGGATTTCCTTTAAAATCAGCTAATGTATTGACTTCTAATTGATTTATTAACTCTTCGATTAATTCTTCTATTTCATTATTATTTGCCTCTTCATTACTCATTAATAATGTTCATCTGTCAATCACTATATTCACACACTCAATATATTTATTATTATTTTTTTTTTTTTTACTCGTAACTCAATAATCATCAGTTTATCTCATTTAATTCAATATTTTTCAATAAATTCAATTATTCTCTAAACTCTTATTTAGTTCAATATTTCTCAATAAAATGTAATAATCTCTTTTTAATTCACTAATTCTCTTAAAATTCAATAATACTTCTTTATTCTCAATAACTTACAATAATTCTCTTATATATATATTTTTTTTTTTACTCTTATAATTCTCGATAATACTCAATATATCTCATTTAATACACAAGGCGGAGTGTGACGATTCAGTTAAATAATTCTCTACAAATTTTCTCTACAAATACTTCTTTATTCTCAATAACTCACAATAATTCTCTTTTAATATTTTAATACACAATGCAGAGTGTGACGATCCAGTTTAATAATTCTCTCAAAATTCTCTTTTAATATTTTAATACACAATTTCAAAAAAAAAAAATTATCAAAAGAAAACTATTTACTTTTGAAATAATTTACAACAGACTACAATTTGAGGGAGTTGATTCAAACCCATATACATTTACAAAAATAATTCTTAATCTACTTACAATATTGTGCTGTTCATTTTGAAGTTGGTAGTCTGCAACGTTGAGTTCTTTTCCTTCGAGAGTTGTGGAAGTGATCAGTTCCCAAGGTGATTCGTTAAAGAATTGCCTCTTGAATTTGAAGAATCCTACCGACTGCGCCAAAATTTATGTTGCGATAGATATTGCTAATTTAAACATTTAGTGAAAATATCAAGAATTTAATGTGATTGGTTTTTGTGTTACAGCAAATTAAAAAACTCCATTTTGTTAAAAACTGCTTATGCGTAATAATTCCCGTTTTTCCGTTTCTTTTTTAGAGTTTTTCCTGACGCTTTTGAAAACTATTGACATTTTTTTACTTTTGACCACTCAAAGTGGTTTCACTTTCCTTTCAGAAACGGGGCTGATGTCAAAAATCGAATCATTATTACTGCTCAAAAAGGTGATGACAAACATAAAAAAAAAAAAATTAAAAAACACACATCATTGTAAAATTAATACATTCATCACTCCGTTCGGAATCTAAAATACTTGTACAAGAACAGCAATTTAACACATGTAAAAGATAATGTACACATAGCAATAAACGTTTTAATTACTGTCAATATGCTAGCCTACAATCACGATTAAATAAGACACTCACATAAACGACAATAATAAAATTCTTTAACTCAAAATCGGAAACTGTAATTCACGGGTAAACTGTTCAGATTAGTTTGGACAAAAATTGTCATTGATATTTATGTGTTAGCAGTGGCGTAGTTACGGGATGGGGGTAAAGGGGTTTCCATCCACCTAAATTTTTTTTTTTTTTATGATATTTAATTATTATAAATTAATATTTACATATTATAGTAAAATGATATTTTCATTTTACTATGATTAGGTATATATTAAAAATTGAGTAACAAAATCATTTTCATTAAATACGGGACATAATAATACTATTTTAAATGTAATGTTATTATATAGGACCTCGTAATAAGATATACTAAGAATATTATGAATTGAATTTTAATCACTCCTCCATCCCCAGAAAAAAATGTGTGTGTGTCTAACCCAGCACTCGGCAGTGATAGTTTGATATGCATGCGACGCTTTCGTACTTATGGCTTACGCACTTAGTAATCGCTGCGATCGCACTCAATAAAATGTTTTAAAATGATTATTTCGATTATTTGAAAATCACCATTTTAGTAATTTAGATATTCAATAATTTAATAAATTATTAATAGGTATACTATAACAATCAGAATTAATTTTTTTTCTTTCATAAATAATAGTAGGGGGTGCAATCATCCCGTCGTCCAAGCCACAAGTCGCCACTAACTTTCATAATTAAATTAACAAAAACAATTTTAATAATATTTTGAATGCACAAGTTCCAATTTTAAAATCAATATCTTAGATACATTTTAGATAATAATAAATAATAACCAAAGTATTTATATTTCTTAACGTCTAATAAATATTCATTTTAAATAATTTCTCTTATTAAAACAAATTATCTCTATGTAAAATGACCAATTTTACTTAATTTCTTCTTTTATTTTTCATATTCAGTGGCGATTTTATTGACTTTGTTTATACCTGATGATGCATTTTTAATTAGAAAACGGTTGTGCATAACATATATAATAATAATACTCCATGCTTAGCATTTATTTATAATATTTATTTTTAGATTCTTATGGTGCATTAGAAGAGTTTTTTTCCTTTTTGTATCTCAAAAACGGTTTAAAAAACATAAAGAATACAAATGATGAATCTTTATATTGGGCATTTGAATCGAGCGCTTCTATTACAAACCATGAATCAAATACAATATCTAGGTAAGATTAATGTAATTATTAAATTATAAGTGTATATTTTTTCTAATTAAAACACCTATACTTACCAAAACTATCCAAATTTCTAAATAAGTTTAGTTTAATTATATATGTTACCGGAATTTTCATCATTTCCGTAGTTTATTAGGCAATGTTATCACGCATTACTTTCTTACACAAAAGCATTGGCGATTATGATGTTGCAGATTATGTGGGATCGGTTTTACAATACAACTAACTATATAACTAACTCGCAACGTCAACATTAGAGTGGTCCTTATTTTTGAACTTATAAATTTTTGATTTCTCACCCCCTGAGTTTGTTCATTACTATAAGAAAGTAATTCGGAACAAATTTCGTCATGATTACTCACCCCCTTCATGTGCCTCAAGAGGGTTGAAAATTTGCGAAAAAAGTTGTTTTGTCATTTTTTACTATATTCAAAACAATATTGCATCTATCTTAATAATGTAAATATATATTATAGATATTTTATTTATTTAAAAAAAAAAAAAACGATTTTTACAGTTATTTAAATATATTGAAATAATGATTGATGATACAACAAAATATTTTAAACACAAATACAATGAAAAAATTTTATTTTTATTATATAGTTTATTTCTTTCAGTTATTTAAAATTTCTTGGAATAGTCGCTTTTTTTTATATAATCTGGGAATAGCTGGCGATACTCGCTCAATACTTGCAGTAAATATTGCTGCTGATCTTCGGTTTTAGTTATTAACTTGTTATAATCTTCAGTTAATTTCACTCCTCGCTCCGCAATATCATTAACTACAGTTAAATGATTAACTAATTATTTTCCTTTTTTATATTGATTATTTTCGTTCCACAATTTCGGGCCTAAATTTAAAAAGTCCAACATTATACTTTATTATAACATCATAATTTTAGAGGCTCTCAGTATACTAACAGTCTTATATATAATATATATATTAGGGTGTTCCTTAAATTTTTTTTTTGCATTTTTGTTGGTCTCACCCACTTAATTTGTGTATATGCCTACAAAAATGAACTACAAAAAGTTTTAAGTCAATCTATTAAGGTTAACCCGTGCCGACTTGAATTTGAAATTTGAGTATATTAATTCATTCATAAATTATGTTCTTACATACTTCTTCTTATTTATTATAATTTACAAGATATATTGAATTTTGTGTATAAAAGTACTATTTTCTCAAAATTATATTATGAATTTTTATAAATACACATTGCACATTGCACACAATTACAGAAATCATTAGATTATTTGAACATTAAAAACATCGTTATGTTCAATATTATCGTATTTTTTCTAAATAAGAATGGTATGGATTACGATCTACGAGTCTAATAGATTTTTATTAATAATATCGTGTAGTCGTCTTCGTTACGGTGCGTGATATAGTTGAGTACATCGTTTGTTGTTACGTTTTTTTTTTTTTTTGGTACCTTATTGTTTTGCAAATTAGAATTGCAAAATTGTTTAGAATTGTTTAAAATTGTTTAGAAAATTACGAGCTGATGAACAAATATTTTTGATTGGGTTACCATCTACCCAAATACTAGACTCAAAACTCCCGTCTATTGGACAAGTGCTTTCAGTATTTTTTTATAATGTGAGAACAGTAAAACTTAATACGAGAGAAAGTGCTTCGATAGCCGTTCGTGAATGCAATATTTTTTGGGAAAAAGCTCGAATTCCTGTCCGAGCAGTTTCATTTCTCCAAAGCTTGTTGCTGCATTAGATCGATGTAAATTAAGTGTACGGGACTCAGTTTATATTATTCAAGCAACAGCTGAAGCATTGGGTAACAATGTTGATAGCTTGGTTATAAATAAATCGTCTATATATCGATGTCGTGATGCTTTACGAGTTGAATGTGCCAATAAAATTAAAACCAATTTTCAAAGTTCTATTCCTAGTTATATAACTGTACACTGGGATGGAAAAATACTACCAACGTTAAATGTTAGAGACTCAGGTATTGATAGATTATCGATTGTTTTAACCAGTAAGAATCAAGATTTGCTTATTGGTATCCCAGTTAGAAAAATCAACGGGAAAAGAACAAGCTAATGCTATATATTATGCATTAGAAAATTGGGACGTAACAGATGTTGTTCAAGCTCTATGCTGTGATACCACCGCTTCAAATACAGGGCGTTTAAATGGTGCATGCGTTTTATTGGAGCAAAAATTGGGAAAAGACTTACTTTACCTACCATGTCGCCACCACGGTGTCCCGACAATTGAGCGAAGACAATTGAGCGCGGCGAAAATTGGGCGCTGCGAAAATTAAGCACCGAGACAGTTGAGCGCTTTAACATAATATTATACTATACTGAGTAAAAGCTTAGTGCAGAACTGCTGTACATGAAATTACCAAATTAGAAATGAATTTGTTCGCAGTATCTGCGAATACCTATATAACCCGTCAGATAAATCCTTATGTTTGATGATAATCAGATAATGTTATCGATACGGTGTTATTGAAAGAATAAAATTCCAACAACGATAATGCAGCAGTAAATGTAGACTCTTATCGCTGGATAACTACACATGTGAACTTTGCAAGGTATTTATTGATGTTATATTTTCACACGTGCATACTGAACACTATTCATTTAATTGTATAAAACATTTTAATTTTTTTAAATTATAATTTTGATAATAAAATGGAAATTATTAAAAGTCAAAAAGGTCGAGACCTTCTGTGCTATAACGGATATTTATATAGATTTGACAAAAACAATAGTTGGCGATGTATCGAATGCAATACGAAAAAATGTCGTGGTCGTATTAATTTGATGAATAGTCAAATTATTAAAGAAAGTGAAAAATATATCGCGCTCAATTGTCTTAGAGCTTAATTTTCGCAGCGCTCAAGTTTCGTGCGCTCAATAGTCTTCGCCCAATTGTCGTGCGCTCAATTTTCTGCGCTCAATTGTCGTGAATCCCGCCACCACATATACGAAATAATTTTACGTGGCGTTTTTGAAACTGTACTTCCTTATACAACGACAAGTCCTGATATCCCACTATTCAAAAAGTTTCGAAACAATTGGAATAAAATTGATTTTAGAAATATAACTTCTGGTATAGACGACCTTGAGTGTTGCACTGCTTTAGAAGATGTACGAAATGATATTCTTCACTTTTGTCGAGCTATGTTGCAAAAACAATGTTACAGAGATGACTATAAAGAATTACTTGAGCTATCTATAACATTTTTGAATGGTAATTTGGACAACACATTTAAAATACGTCCACCTGGAGCAATGCATCAAGCTCGCTGGATGTGTAGAGCTATTTATTGTTTAAAAATAAATATTTTCCGGAATTAATACTCTTTATCTCCTCTGAAAAAAACGCTATTCGTGATATTTACGGGAAAGAAATTGCATGCTCGCTAAATGTAGTAAATGACAGCGGAAGGAGCAGTTAAACTTATGGAAGATTTTCACGGAACTTTAACCAAAGACGATAAGAAGTCTTAGTTGCTATTACAATGTATACAAGAACACAGAAGACTATATCCTGATTGTAAAAAGGAAACATTGAAAAAACAATTTTAATTAATAAAAATTCATAATATAATTTTGAGAAAATAGTACTTTCATACACAAAATTCAATATATCTTGTAAATTATAATAAATAAGAAGTATGTAAGAATATAATTTATAGACAATTTTATTATATTTAAAATATATTATGTAACAAATTTTAATTTTCCTAATTGTAAATGAGTTATATATGAAAATGTAAAATATATCATTAAATTATGAATGAATTAATATACTCAAATTTCAAATTCAAGTCGGCACGGGTTAACCTTAATAGATTGACTTAAAACTTTTTGTAGTTCATTTTTGTAGGCATATACACAAATTAAGTGGGTGAGACCAACAAAAATGCAAAAAAAAAAAAATTTAAGGAACACCCTAATATATATATTTAGGTTTTAAATTTTTAAATATTTAAATTAATTGATATAATACAAAATAAAATAACTATTATCAATTTGTATACACTTTAGTAATTGTTATGCATAAAATTTAAATTAAAATCAATTTTAATCAATTACTTTAATAAGAAAGTTTATTATTTAATAAATCACTCTTAGTTTTTAACATATTAATAACATTATCATTATCAATACTAAATAAAACATTTTTTTCGACTGCCATTATCATTAATGCGTCCAATTTTTCTTCATTCATTGAATTTCTCAGACAAGTTTTAATTATTTTTAATAAAGAAAATTATCTCTCGCATGTTACCTATATATAATATATAATATAATATAATATAATAATTTTTATAAAAATTCAATTAGATCTTTAAAATAAAATACATAAAAATGTTTGGAAACATTCCAACTGCATACTTACTTGGGGGTACACGACAATGTCAATAAGTATTGATTAGCCATGGTCAAGCAACGATATGCATCACTATATAAATTGTATTTTATCAGAACATTATAGCAGCATACCATACAATTATTGCAGGATTTACATTCTAATTGAACAGTGTTATTTTCTTCATTTTCATTTTCACTTTCATTTAATTGTATTTCAAATGATTCTGGTAATGATTTTTTTAATCCATTCCAGTTTTTAATAAAGCTATGAAATTCCGCTCTTAATTGATCATAACTTATATCAGAATCAAATTTACATAAGACTTTATACAATTTTTTTAAAGCATTCGGTGGTATATTTTGTTTTTGTAAATCTTCAAAATTGTTGAGTGATAAAAAGTGTAGATCTCCATGCAAAAACTTATTAGTAGAACATTTTTTTTCTATATTAGATATAGTTTGATCTAAAATTATATTAAAAACATCTACACTATATCTTTTTTCAGGGCATAATATTGGTTCATTTTTATTGTTTTCATAAAATAATTTTGATTAATTTTGAAAGAAAAATCTTTCTCAATTAATACATCCATTTCATGTTTTTCATTAAATTGTTCATTTATATAATTTATAAAATTATCGGCTTCTAATTTTACATCTCCAAAATGCCTTTGACATTGTTTTAACTGTATTAATGCACAATTTACTAACTCCTGGGTTTTTATCAAATTCATACCCTTGGTTTGAAGGTATTTAGATAATGGACCAAGAATTTTGAATATATTTAAAAAAATAAATGATGTCAAAATAATTTTGTATTGTAAAAGATATTCTTTAAAATTTCAGGCCTTCACTTTGATATCAGAGTTAAAGGTTTCTGACAACTCAATAATATTTAACGCTGTAATTAGAGCAATGTACAAAGCACCATTGTCTCCGAAAATTCGGTCTAATGCCTTTTCTTTGGCTCCCTAGGGTGTGTTTCCTATCGTTGCTAGTCGTCTTTTGTCATTTTCCCCAATTATTGATTTCCAGATATCTATTCGTTTGTATGATTTTTTTAAATAAACAGCATTATTGTTTAAGAAAATAAATAATGAAGCTGCTGGTAATGTTATACTTATAGCATCAACCAAAACTAAATTTAAAATATGACTATAACACCACACGTGCACTTGATTGGGTGATGATTTAGATAGCTAAGCAGAAAACCCATTATATTGACCTTGCATATTTGCTGCTCCATCTGTAGCATTCCCTATACAATTTTCAATGTTCAGTCCATTTTTAGTTAAAACATTTTCCAACATAGTATGAAAGCTCTTCCCTTTTGAATCTTTAATATTAACTACTGCAAATAATTTTTCATTAACACCAATCATATTGACATATCGTATTATAATTGAACATTAATCTTGAACCGAAATATCTTATGTTGTGTTTATTTGAATTTAAAACATACCAGCTGCTTGAACTTAAATAACTATTGATTTTTTCATTAACATATTAAGTATATCAATTATTTCATTAATAGTAGTTACACATATACATACCATATTTCTAGAAATACACAATATTTTAAGAATTGATAATTATCCATAGAATAGAAACGAAAAAGCGTATTGTTATTTATAGCTGATAACCTGATTTTCCAAACTAAATAAATACATTTTTCATAAACAAATTATAAATTTTAATAGATTAAATTACATTTTTGAATTTTATTTAAATAAATATATTCTTATTATTGTAAACAATTTTCCAAGATTTTTGACATTTTCTGGGGGGGGGCATGTCCCTCCCTTACACCCCCCATATGGGTGCCCTTGCCTCATACCATATTAGCTCTTTAATAAATTATAAGTCCATGTCCATGTTGTTAGGGCAGCAGCTGGAGCACAACCCATTATTTAACCTTATTATTAAGTAATAATTATTTTAAGTCTAATTAAATCAAAAAAAAAAAAAATGGTATGATATGTTTGGGAAAATATGGCATCATTGCCTGATATTGTTAGCAACTATTATCATATACTAGGCAATGATATAATTTCCTTCCGCTATTGGTAATGTCATAATTTCCTAGGAATTGTCATCCTTTCCTAAATGTCAACATTTCCGGTAAATTATACATATATAACTATCTTTATAAATATTCAATCATTGATATTTGTATTCATAAAAAATATATTTTTCGCTCGTGTCAATAGATAATTAATTTGTGACAATATGTTTTAATAAAAATTATTTTTTCTTTTAAAGGTTTTTTAGGCAAACAACCAATTCTCATAAGCATGAATACGAAAAATGTTCGACAAAGAGCAAGATTTATTTGGTCTAACATTACCATACTAAACAAAAATATTGAGCAATTTATAAATCAAGATATTTTTCATCATGATATTTCTGAAAAAAATTCCACCAATAAAAAAGGTACATTTAAATATATATGTGGTTATTTATTCAACATAAAGACCAATTTTTTCTATTATTTAAATATGTGGATAATAATTTTATATCACAATCGTTTTTTTTATTACTTTATGCTAATTATTAATATCTAAATACTGATATTAAATAATTTCAAAAGCCAATTTAATATTTGGCTTTGTTTATTATAATTTGACTGATATGTTGAGAACTATTGATTTAATTTTTAATCAATCCGTAATTTATTCTTATTTTTTTTATTTTTTAGATCAAAGTTTGCCTTGGTGTTATAATTCAGTTTATTCTATCTTAAACAGTTTAATACAAAACAATATTTTATATGCCTGATTTTTAATTCCCGACAAAGTAGTCATTCTATTAATTAGTAGGTAATAATTATTTATAAATAAGTTATAATGTACCAGTAATTTCAAAAAGATTTTTATTAAGTTTGTTTAAATTTTAGTTATTTATATTAACATCAAACTTTTTTTTGTATATATGTTCACTCTGAAAATTTAAAAAAAAAATTTTATGACATTTGTTAGAATTCAGAAGTATTTTTTTTTTTTTGTTTATTTGTAGTTTAAAATATGAAGTAAAATATATTGATATTTGTAGCATTATAATTACTTTTTGTTTAAATTTACAGTTTTTATATCTTTTTTTTTTTTTTTATTGTAAGTACAATTAATATTATTTTTAATATACATAAATAAGTTGTTTATATTAAATTCGATTCTTTTTCAACTATTTTCTTAACGTTTAGAAAATATTATCCCAGTATTCAAATTCACAAATTATAGTAAATATCAATATTTGATTAATTATTACTTCCATATTATTTAGATGAAACACAATAATTAAAATTAAGGTAAGACTTAAAATAATGCAAATGTTTTGTAGTGATCAAGCCACTATCATCACAGAAGACCCAACATAAATGAAAACATTAAGTACCTATAACACATTTTTTGTTAGTTGTGTTTTCAAGTCCACCACTATAATTCGGTATTATTTTACCTTCTCTTCTTTATAAACCAACTTCACTTAGTTAAAACATATTTCCTATAATTTGCCTCCAATAAGTCCCGAACTGTAATTATTAATAACCTTTTATCGTACTCGATACAAAATATATAAACAAATCATTTGAAATTAATGAACAACAAGAATCAGGTGGTCCATCCAAGCCTAAAAGGGCTCGTAAAGAACTATGGTATTAACCTCGAGATTAGCTGTTGCTTTTGAAAAATTCAAAATTAGTGAAAGGGTACATTTGTTTAGAAGCTGGGTCATTAGATTCTTCTGACTACATTATCAATAGGAAATCCATACGAAATGTTAGAGCTATCTATCGGGAATTATATAACCAAAAATGATAGCATCCCTTCACTAATTTAAATGTAAAGTCGGTCATTGTTCACTGGGATACTAAAATAATGGAAGCATCTCTACAGGTACAAATTTTTAAAAATTCCTTCAAAAAAAAAAAAAAAAAATTGAAACCAAACAAAAATTGTTATAATCCGCTCTATTTACCTTACGCTATTTACCGATCCTTAATCTACTGTACCAAAAAAAAAGAACCTTTTTAAATTATTGAAATTTAGTTTCGAGAAAAAAATTAATATCATTTTTAATACATGACCGACAAAAAATTAAAATGTATTTATATTTTGTTCAATACATTTTCTGTTCTTCAAATGTTGACGCCCTAGGCCCAGGTGAAGGCAAATATCCTGCCCTACACAGAACATTTCAGAATTAACTCGTGTAAAAAACATTTAATTTAAAGGATGGGGCCACATTTTATTTGGTTTTTCATTATCTTCAATATCTAACATTAAGGACCATAAAATGGGCCAATAATATTTTCTTTATCCGGAGACATGTTGGTGATGGATAATAATTTTAATTTTCTTGCTTTTTTTGGTGTACAAAACAATTTTAAAGCCAAGAATATTCAATTTTTGAAGACATTCGTTATGCTGTTTAATACTGTTTATTATATTGTATACATTAATTTGAATAAATGTATTGCTTTTAAAAATATTGATATCCATTATTCAACGGTACATTATTTTATTTTAGCGACGCGTTTTTCTTTTGAGTATTCTCAAACATTTTGAACAGTTCCTTTTCATTAGGAATAAAATTATATAAATTAATTTTCAATAAATCCCAGTACTTAAATTTGTCCATCTTTTTCATAAACCAATGAGGCACACACAAACACTTAGTTTTCTCAGATGTCACAAATTTTTTATCATCTATTTGTTCACCTTATTTATAAAACAAAATACAACTAGTTAGGTAGATAAAATGATTAATAATAATTATTTGCATAAGTTATAAGATATAAAAAATGAAAAATGTATACATTAAAATTAAACGGTAGATTTAATGTTCTAAAAGAAATTAAATATAATTTATCAATTATTCACGAAAATGATATTGGATTATTAGAGAAATTTGCCTCCTTTACATTTAGATTTATTTCATGGTTATTACAATACTTGAGAAAACTATATATTTAATACATTTAATAAAAATATTGAGTGGTTAAAAAATGTATAAAAATGGATTTATATTGAGCCAACAATTTTTTAACCAGAGAAAAAATCTTTTTAATAAGCTTACGAAAATACAATTTTCAATTTAATTTTGCTTTTTCAAATGAAAAATATTTTATATTATATTGATATAATAAATTACCAAATTAACTTTTAAAATTGATGTTCTTATTATAAAAATAAATAAAATAACTAACAAATACATATTAAAAGTAGAGTTTTCCAACTCCTGTAAGACTCGGATTTCATAATTAGAAAAGATTGTTTTGAATCAACTATATCATCACTATAAATTTAGACATACAATATCTTATTATTGATTACACCTGTATTTTTGTTTTTACATACTATACTTTGAGGTATTATTTATTCCAGGACATTAAGCCAAAATTAAAAAAAAAAAAATTGTTTTTTATTTATATTTCATAACCAACAAATTGAATGAAATTGTTGAAATTGTTATCAGGTTAATAGCTTTTTATTGTGCTACTGAAATATTATAATTATGATATGTATTTAATTACCAATATTAAAACACGTTTTTGATAAAAATGTACAAGTATTCATGTACTTTTCCATACATTTTTTTTGATTAGTTAATTGTTTTGATGGATCAAATAATTCAAACTCTCTGTTTCTAGTAAAATTAAATCTTTTAATAATTTTCAATTGGGTTATTAAAGATATTTTTCCTTCAATCATGAAATGACCATAACCAATATCACCTAACCCTTTGCCTATAACAAGAAAAAATAATATTATATATAGTTAACATAAAATATTCTAATTAATTTTTAGTTAATCGAGTTTTTCTGTTAATTTTTTCAATTACAGTCAACTTTAATTTATAGTGTGTAGAGTTGTACTTACTAAGAACATGTTCATATTTTTTAAACGTCTTTATAAATGAAACAGTGCTGCATTTGTTTAAATCTTCTAAACTCAGGTAATTGAACTGAGGTAAATTTTGCATTGCTATCAAATTTGAGTTCCAATATAAACGCAAATTATCTTTAATAATATCGACAAAATCATTTTTTGATATTTTAATTAACTCTAGTGTACCTATATTTATTAAAAACTTCTTAATAAAATTGAACATATATATTTCATATTTAACTATTAACTAAATATTCTTTATAATCTAAATATTTTAAACTTTTAAACATTAATTGAAGGAAGTTATTAAAATATTAAAATATATATTTTTAATAATAAGTTATTTAAAATCAATTTACTATTGTAAATTGTAATAATGAATAAAATAATGATGCACATAAACAAAAATGCGATTACAATACAAACAAATGTGAAGTAAATATTGTATTTTAAAAATAAGATGATCAAAAGAAAAAAAAATGTAAGAATTACAAAATAATACAATATTAATCAAAAGAGAGTTAACATTTAATAAAGAATTTTTAAACTATAATACCCAACCTAAAAATAAATTAATAATCATTTGTATCAAAGTATGAAAGTAATTCATTGTTGCGTTCCGTCTGTTCAACAGCTGTTATAGTGTAATAGGATGTTTAAAATTTTAACTCAACTTTAAATCAAATATTATTTATTGTAAAAAATATTCTAAGTCAAAAATTAAACTATAAAATAAACTGGCATGAAGCAAGGAAGCCTTGCTTCGAATGAACTAAACCATATCTGTCTATGGGTTTGTTTTGTACCCCCTTATAAACCCCGATCTCGTATGAACTCCATATTATTCGTTTCCTCATCTCTGTCAAAACAGTACTAGTAAGTATATAAATTGCTGTTTAATTTGTTACTGAAAAAAATGACAGAACCAATTACTTTTTATTGTGCATCCAACCCTGGATTATAATAATATATCTATATAGGCTGCAATAAAATAAATAAATAAAAATTGGTTGACTTCATATCCAATATGAACTACCTTTCTGTGAATGAACTTCTGTCTTAGCATAACTACTATCACATGTTATATAATTAGTATTGTACACAGATAAACAAAACAATTATCTCATTAAAATAACAAATAATTAATTTAAAATGCATCTAGATAAGATAATAGATAACTATTTAAATATTTATCTAGATAAAAGATAAAATATAACTATATTTATTTAGATAAAAAATAGATAATTTTAAGAAGTTTCATCATTTAAAAGTTCTTCTTATAAAATAGTTATTTTTCTGTAAATAAAAAATTAATTATTAATCATTATTTATTTGGTTTAAAATAATCTTCTTTATTTAGTTGCACAAAATAAGTATGGAAACGTATTTTTATTTTTATATATCCAACTATAATGTTTTAAACATAAATATTATATAATAGTATAAATAAATTGTTTTTATTAATTTTTATTTGTATATTATTAACTATCAGTTTACTAACCCCAGTGTTAAAATTCATAATGATGAACAAAAAATGAATCATCAAATTATAATTTAAATAATTAACAATAAAAATGTACCTAATATACCTAATACCTTTGTATTCGTTTATTACTAATACATACTATAGATGTGATAATGCTACCATGTTATTTTGTAATATTTTAATTTAATATAATGGTCATAATTTACATTTAGTTAAATAAAATTCATACAAAAACGCTAAAGCATATAATATAAATGTATATTATACATTTTGCTTTGACTATAAAATAATGTATGTCGTTATAAAAACGTAAGTCGTATTGCATTCAAATCATATGACATAAGTGATGAGGATATAAGGGGTGGTTCATTTTCTAATGATGAATGTTCATCTGATAAAAATAATTATATATTAGAGAGTTTAAACACTGAAAAATTAGGGAAATCAACCGATGATAAGATTCATTATGATGTTTAACTAATTCTATCAAATGATTGTGGAAGTTATCATAAATCCAACGATGAAGTAGAAAATATGGGACAAAATTGTATCGTCATAGCCAAACCAAAGAACAAAAAATTTAAGTTACGATAAAGTAAATGAAAAATGAGGTGTGATTAACAAAAAATGCAAATACTGAAATCGATTCATTGTCTATTTTTTTTTTACAGATCCTATGGTAGAACATATCATGTCTTGTCATAATATATAGGTTACGGGTAAAGTTTGAAAATTTTTAGTTTACAAATTACCCGAATAAAGTAAACCTTACTCATATGAATAGTATAATGTGTACATTATCCAGTGTGCTATGGATAAGGTATGAAGTAGAAAAAAAATACCAAATCATATTAAACACGTAAAACATGGTTGCATACGTTCGTTATAATTAATTCGAAAAAAAAAATTATTACCTAATTATTTATTATTAGGTTATTACTTTATACATGAAAATTTTTTAAAAACTATATAAAATATAGTTATTTATTGGAACAGTTTGGATTCGGGTGGCATTTTGAGTTGCAAAATATCTCTCCTGATTAATATTTTATTTATTTGTTAAACAATTATTTTACTTAAACATTTTTTAAAAATTGGACCTCTGAAAAGAAATTGTGTATTATTTATTTTACACAAAGATTTTTTTATAGCCAATATTTATAAAATATTTATTAATGGTTCATTATGATTTATTTGTTTTTTTTTTCACGTTTCTTATTTCAGATAATGCTCGTATGTTGTAATATTTTGTTCCGTTAAATTTACCTAATTCTCATTCTTTTTATTAATTAATTTATTAAAACTCTCATAAAATTTTTCTTTTTGAGAAAACAAGTTTTTTTTAAAAAAAATAAATAATCAAACATTAATAAACCAAACAAGGAAACTCAAAAACCGATAGCACCGTACTCAAATTTTACATTATTATATAATATAAATGCAGACGATTTATCATAATGCACAATTTATATTTTATTATACCTATTTTATTAATATTATCAATAATTTATATTTTGTTATATTTTATTAATATTATCAACAATTTATATTTTGTTGTATTTTAATTTATGAAAACACTGTATCCAGTCAAAGGTAGATAATGTACAAACTACCCGGTTAATGTACCTACAAAATAATCGTTTTACAAATATGTTTACTTTATCCAACAGACATGGGTTTACATTACCCGATTTTCGTATTCTATCTGTAACATATATGTATATTGATAAAATAAAAATTAATGTTTTTCTTAGTTAATTAATATTTGTGTACCAATAACTAATGAATAACAGTAATATTTAATGCAGATTTGAGGGGGGGGGGGGGGACTATGACAAATACCCCACTCTAAGAAATTTTAAAAAGTCTGCAATTCTTTGTCTGATAATCAAATGCTAAAGTCGATAAATAGCAGTGGCGTAGCCAAGTGGGGGAGGGGACTAAGGGGACTATAGTCCCCCCCATGGGCCGTGTTTATATGTATAGTGTATCCTGACTATTTAATAGAATCAATGGATGCTCGTTTTAATCAAAGCTTATTGATGTTATTTTATAGTGATTGCCACTTGAAGAACTTATTCCGGCCAATTTAAATATGTATGACGATGAAAATATTATAAAAGCTGCTAAAATATATGCCCAAGATCTCCATGATGATACCTCATCTACAATCAGAGCTGACCTGTTCATATGGAGGCAACAATGGAGTCAAAATACTATTCCAAAACCGAATTCTGCTCTTGATTCACCCTCTCATTGCACCAATCTTCAACCTAACATTAAAATACTTTTACAATTATTCACCACGTTATCAGTTACCTCTTCCACTCCAAAAAGAACGTTTTCTGCACTTAATCGCTTAAAAAAATTTTTAAGAAGCACCATGTCGGAAAAGAGACTGAATGGGTTAGCTATGGTTAATATAAATAAAAAAGAGCAATTCCATGAAAATGAAATAATAACTGAATTTGCCAGAAATTCGCCTAAAAGAATGCAGCTGTCAGAGTGGAGCAAGTGACTGAACACTGAAACCAAAATTATTATTTTTATTATTATTATTACAAATTATATATTCATAAATATTTTTAAAACTGTACTAAAATGCTTGAATTACATTTAAAAACTTGGTGGTAGATGAGGAGAGGGGTTCAGGGTGAATTCTCATGTCCTCTCTTACCTTACTTATTCAAAAATGTGATCAGCCTTTCCCATTTAAAAATCCTGGCTATGCCACTGGTAAATAGTAAATTTTTATTTACTATTTTATACTCAGAAATCAGATAATTTTCTCTTTTAAATACTTGTTCACGGTTTATTAAAAGTTGGGAAACACTGGCTTTTCTCCCCGGTTTATGATATTCGTTACTACGCAATTTTTAGAAACTTTATTTTTGGTATATTATATATTTCTATATATGTGGTCTTTATAAAACAGTTTTTATGATATCGATATCATAAAAATTGAGCTATAATCAATTAAAAACCGTTAAAATCGTTCCTATTCACCCCAAACTACGGTACATATATTTGAGATACAAGTTAACATTTTATGTTTTTATAAAAAAGTTCTGTAAAGTATTAAATATATAAACATAAAATTATAAGTATTTATTTAATTAGATTTATATTATTATTCCATTAAAAAAAACTATTTATAGGTAACTTATAGCCTATAGAATAAGTAAATAATAATAATATAATAATAATCCTTTTTTTGTTCCGAAAAAATATTTTATTGATAGTCTATCGCTTGGGCGTATTTTAGGGGGGGGGGGCAAAAGGGCGACCGTCCCCCCTAGAATCCGTATTTAAGGAATTGATTATATGTGAGATACACAATTCAATTTTTTTTTAATGTAGATCATTTTATAACGAAATCAAACTACGCATGTCTGTAAATACTGAATTAGGCTTTTTGTCGGGTCCATATTTAGTGAAAATCATATAAAATACAAGCGTAACTTTCAAAACACAGACAGGTGTTAAAAATTAACTACACAAAACTCAATTCTAAGTGGATCCGGCATTAGATTAAAAAAAAAAAATAAAACCACAAAAATTAAGGATTCACCTGATTTAAATATTACTAAAAATTCTACATGTAAATTTTTGAACCTGAATTAAAGAAAAAATTTAAGTCTCCCCCCTCCCCTAGAAGTAAGTCTAAATACGCCCCTGATTTATCGTCCATAAATATTAAATATTTAAATATATAGGTAACCATAATTTTTTACATATTATTGAGTCAGCAAATTTAATTAGTTGCCCCACCCTTTCAAAAGTTGAAATGACGCCCCTGATTTAATGATTTTAAATTCAATAATATACAAAATATAGTCAATAAAAAAAAAAAAAAAAATTTATTTAACGAAAAATAATTATTATATGGTTAAATAAAACAATTCTTAACAAATATATATTACATTAAAATCTCAAATCATGTAATTTTACTATTTATATAAATTTATAAACATATAAATCTTATTTTTTTTTTAAAAAAAAAAAATCATTTTGTTTCTTTTTTATTAGTTTTGATTTTAAGTAAGTAATATTTTTTTAGTAAAATCAATTGTAATTATAAATTATATACATTTTATTTAATTAAAAAAAAAAAAATTGAAAAAACTACTAATCAATAAAATAAATAAAATGAGACCCCTAGGACGATTCAAAATCCGATAGATTGACGTAGTTGTCAAAGATGTAGTAATGATAGACCAGAACGCAACTTTAGAAACAGCATATCAGAGAGACAGATGGAGAGAGATTTTTATGACAGAGATGGTCCTGAATGGACCGCTAAGCTGATGAAAAAGATAAATTGTATTTTTATAAACGCTGGTGAGATATGGGGATAGGAATATACACATGATACACCATTAATTAATTAGTGTTTACATACACTCTGAACTTTAATCTATTCAAATGTAATGGATAGTCAGTATGTATTAATCCTTAATATTTTATTATTAACTCCTAATTATTTGTATGTAAAATTCTTAGAACAATAAGAACAACATTAAAACTTAAAGTGAATAATTAAGTCTTACACAATAAATAAATGTTCTATTGAAAAAAATGTACTTAATGATTGCGCAGAAATTTTTCTTAATGTGTTGAATTTTATTGAACTCACACCAAAAGATTTTTTTTCACTTAATTTGCAATATTCAATTAAATCCTTTTTTTTAGAAATTGGATTGTATACATATTTAGTAAGTCTTATAGATCCTTTTATAATTAAATACATATTTTCTGGTGAATGTCCTTCTTTCAATATCCACCTTCCCGGTCCATAATTTGTATATGAAGCACTTCGGATGAGGGCCATTTGAGATTCCTTTAGATAAATCAAGAACACAAGTAATTTTATTTTTAATTATTTTGTAATAATTATTTGTTATTTATTATTATCTTTCAATATAATTTATTCTTTTATACTATTGAACTCATATATAAGTATAAATTACATTTTAATTTAAAATAAAATGCACAATACACAAATGTTTAATAGAGCATGAATTGTATTGGGCACCTAAGACACATTTTAGGTAGATATATTCAAATTTTTATTTTATTAAAAATTGAATGTAAATTGAAAAAGTTTTTTACATGCTCATTGTTGAAAAAATATCAAATTAGTTAAATCAATTTCATTCAAATTAAATTTCAACACAGTATTGGATTGTTATTGTATAATATATTGGGTAAACTGGCAAACATTTTTGTGAAAAGTGCGCGAATAAATATTTGTAAACAATGTAGGTACTTATATAATTAAAATTAATTTTTAGTATTATAAAAACATGCAACACGTATTACAAATACCTACTAAAAGAACTTGGTCGCAATAGAGCATTAAGAAGTAACAAATAAATACTAAATTACTTACAATTGGACAATGATTGAAAAATTTAAATCCTACTGCGAAAATCCATTTGATTGATTCTAATTCGAATTGTGTTCGCTCATTTGGTGGTTTAAACATAATTAATTTATGCTGAAAATGTATGTTTATATTTTTACTTTCTGTCAGTTAAAATTTGAAATAATTTCTTACAAACACAGATATTTCTTCGGACTTTAAAAGAGTTTCTTTTTTTTTTTGATTCAAATAAGTGGATTGGTGTAAGAATGACATTTTTTTTCCATCAGCCATGATAAATTATCAATCACCCTCAAAACAATAGTTTTAAATCTTAATAATGGCAGACTTGAGTTCTAGAAAATCAGACCACTAATATTTAATAACGTCATAAAAACATGCTATAAAGTAAGTCATATTAGGCTGCCAACGAAGTGTTGTATTATCATATAGAATATAGATGACACCTAACACCTAATTTAATTTAATTATTATTATAAACATAAAATTAATATATTGTCAGCAAACGCACGCATACGCATACGCATATACACACCACCTTCAGGAAATGCTGATCAGATAGATTGCAACAGAATAAAATGACCACCGCAAGACGTGATGAGGGTTCGTTCTGCTGCCATCGATGTGGAGGACGGAACGCTGCCCGATTTACAAGTGAAGTGATCGGCCATTCTTTTGTTTTTTAGTATTATTAAATATTTTTCGTTGTTTTAAATTTAATTTTAAAAGGTGTTCATATTTATTAATAATTTTTCTACTTTACGTACTTGTGCGAGTATATGAGAAAGTTGGTACATTTACAAAAAGGGTATTAAAACTACGAGTATATTGTATTTCAAACCTCAATCCAGTGCTAGATCATATTCTTTGTCAGTTTGAGGGGAGAGTACAATATAGTTAGATAAAGGTTACCTCACGCTCGAAACATTCAGTGCTAGATCTGTTTCGAGTGTAAAATAACTTTAGAGCTACTAAAGGAAAGTAAGCATTTTAAAAAACCTGTTTTCGACAATCCTATTAAGCAGTGCTAGATCGTAGTCTTTGTCACTTAAGAAGGTAGTCCGGGTCAATTATAAGGGGTTTTTCTTTACGTGCTTGTTTAACGGTTAGAGTGTCCAACAACCAACAAATACTTCGTTTTTGTGTTGATATAGGTCAAGCCTTTGCATGGTGTATACGACAGAAGGAATTAAAAATTGTGATATAACTAAACATTTATAGGCAATTTCAGATAATTTTGTTTATTAAATATAAATAATTAAAATTTTCCAAAAATTATTTGTTACCTAAAATATTTTTCTAAACAAATAATATAATAACTATTTGTTTTACTAAAACTGTGGGAAGAAATTTGACCTAATTAAAACAGGTACTTATTAAATAATGTCAGTATGACATTTATAGTATTTAATTACTTACATCTTGTAAATCAATTTGATCGTATAAATCCATTTTATTAAAAGTAAATTTAATATGTTTATTTGTTATTTTACTAAAAATAAGCAATTATAAATAAATAAACTACACTGAAATGGTACCTAAGCAATTATTTACTTTATCAAAATAAAAATATGGATTTTATAAATAGGTTACTTCCTTTGAGAATATTATAATAGCATTATTATTATTTTTTTTTTAAAGTTTAAACCAGGGTTTGAAAAAGAGAATTTGAAAAACAATTCATTTTACGGTATTTCAAATTAAAACGTTATGTACTTATTGTGTTTTACATTTTGCGTTATACCGTTACACGTAAAAAACTTTTTTTATTCTTTTTTGTTTTATTAAAATATTCATTATAATATCTACAATTTTTAAATTTAATTTGAAGTTCCCATGGTGTCTTAGAATAATATACACTTTGGACAGGAGAGATAGTCATCATAGTCATACTCAGTGGTGCAACTATGGGGGTGCTAGGAGGTGCTTAAGCATCCCCAAGTTCTATGTCTTTGTAAATTCAAATATCTATAGTTTAAACAATAATTTAGGTAATTTTATATTTTAAAATTTTATTTTCAGTTATTTTTTTCTTATCTTACATATCATTATTTATATTATAGTATATTTTTACTATTATTGTGAATAGTAGGTAACGTAATATCGTCATGTTGAGATCACTGGATTATAATCTTTAATCGTATAGTAATATATAGTAAATTATCGATAGGAGTACCAATATGACGTCATAGACGATCGATAGCGATTGTAATAAGTACAAACTGTCAATAACTGTGATAACTAATGATCTCGTGGCTCGACCTTATGATTTAAAATTTGTGATAATGTGATATTGTTTGTTTCAAATTTGAAATTGCAAGTGTTTGTTTCAGCTTTTTAGCGCAGTTATTACATTTTTTATTCGATATAAAATATTCATAATGTTTTGTCTTTTTAGTGATAGTTACAAAATAAATACTTTTTTTCTTTTTTTTTGTTCTTTATTTGGGTTAAATAATCTAAACAAATTATGTATAATAAGCTTAAGTGTTTACAAAATTAAGGTTACAGCCAGAAGACATGAAGAAGAAGCTGCCCACTGGTGACACTCCAGTAACAAAAGAAATACTATTCAAAATAAGTCCAACCATTCAGACAGTGAAACGATTGATGATCCTGGTACAAGCACATCAAGTGGTTTGTGTGAAAATGTTTGTACCAGTACCTCTCAAATTTTGAATTTAGGACTAGGAGGTATAGAAAATGGACCATACCGCCCAATTTTGGCTGTTAATACTTAGTACTATCTTAGTTTTATTTTATATAATTATTTTGATTGCTTCGAAAAATGTTATAGGTACTTACCTATTATTTTGTCAATTTATGAAATATACAATTTAAATAATTAACTTATTTTTTAGTATGCAATTAAAAACACTTATAGTTAACTGCTTAATGCTTTACATATGCTTTAATGCTTTTAGACTTATCTAAAAACAAAGTTTGGGAAGCAACATAGATCTTTTAATAAACAATGGTTTGTTGAATGTGCATGGTTAGATATAGCACTACATTAGATGCTACCTTTTGTTATGTTTGCCGCATATTTGATACGAGTGATGTTGAACTAGCATGAACTAAGACTGGACTAAGTAATTGGTAAAAAGTAAGTTTATATAATAAATAAATAATAATAATACTAATAGTAACTTAGGTATTTAAATTAATCATTAAATTTATACATTTTCAATACAATCTAGCAGTGGCGCTTAACTATATTTTAAATGGGGAGGCAAGTAAAAAGTTTTACGGACCACCACCCCCGTTTAACAAACACAAAACGTGAGACGCTTTGCCCCTATCCCCCTCCCCCATACAATACTTTAATATTTCATACGACCATACACACATACAGTATACAATATTTTACTCTAGTATCATTTTTATTTAATAATGCCTAATGAAAGTGTTCAAAACTAGTTTTAAGTATTACTTAATAATTATAAAGTCAGATGTATTAATGTATTTATTATAAATTACCAAGTTTGTAAACAGGTATGTATTTTATAGGTAGGTACCTACATATCTATATACCTAAAATAATTTTAACTTTGAGTGAATATGGCCTGTAAGTAGATATATATATATATATATATATATATATATAATATAAAATATAAAACTTGACAGCAAAATTAACTTACACTTTAAACTGACCAGAATTTAAAAATGTAAAATTACAAATGTCTTATGTGTTATGAATAAAGTTCTGATTTTGTAGCTCTATAATATAAAACTATAAAAAGTAATTAAAATGAATATGGTTTCATAATTATATTGGCTTCTAAAACACCATTATTCACACACTATAAATAATTTTTAATCTATAAAATATAATACCAACATAATAAATTTAAAAAAACCATTAAAATATTGTAAAAATATAAATAGTTTAAGTTTATTTTAATTACGATAATAATTTTCTGAGAACAAAGCTATATGATGAAAATGTTTTAATAACTTCATCAGTATTTATTGCAATATCTTTCTCACAAGAAATTAACATCAGACTTTCTAATCGTTCTTCGCACATTGTACTTTTTAAACGGGTTTTAATGAGCTTGAGTTTTGTAAATGCTCTTTCAGGGGATGCACTTGAAACTGGTAATGTTAAAGCAATACGCAACGCAGTGTAAATAACAGGAAACACTTCTTTCAATCCAGTAGAAAGTAAAATCGAAAAATCGAAAACGAATGCCGCGTCGTGTAGACATGTATTTGCCGCGCGGCACGGGGCCGCCGGATGCTGCGAAGTCATGCCACTGAGCAAAGCTGCTCCGTCTGGACGCGCCTTTACGTGAAACATACGGATCGACGGTCGACGAAAAAATGAATGATAAATAATAGTATTATTAATATAATTACATAAGTATAATTCTCTAAGCAGTCTAAGCTGATAAACTGTAAACTAGATTTAAAAATAAACTAAAAGTTCACAGTATTTGTATTGTTATACAATTTGACGTTATAGTATTTTCACTGCGATTATTTTTGTTATCTTATTATCCCCGGTGAAATTTAATTTCTGAAAATCTCCGATGAACTAGATAAATCTCGTTAAGTGTCGTCGAATCTAATCAATTTAATTTCAGTTTTGTCGTTTATATAAAAATACCATTTATTTTATGATTAAATAAAAGTTGTCTATTATAAAATAAATGTTAAAATCAATATAATATAAGGCTTTCATTTTTTTTTTAAAGTCGGAAGGTGTCATGACATGGAGGACACCCTTCCCCTCAAAATATGCCACTGAAATCATGTATAAAATATATAAGTACCTTGATATTTGTGTGAAGAAGTTGATGACTTGAAAAACTTTGTGATACTGCTCATTGATGAAATATTTTTCCTCTTTTGACATGCATTCAAACGACGTTCTCAATTTGTACAATTAATACTTCCTCTATTTTTGCCACAGTTGCAGAATTAATAATTGTCATGGTTCATAACTGTTGTTGGATTTATATAATAATATCAGTGGCGTAGCCAGGGGGGCTAAGGGGGCTACAGCCCCCCTGAAATGTTAAGAAAATTTAAAAATTCTTTTAATGGTCTATGATATTCGCTCAAAAAGTTTTAAATTGTGTTTTACTAATTTTAAATTTTCATCTTTATTTTGTTAGTTTTCTACAGCTTCGGCCGTGCTAGTAGGTATTTAATGCATATATTATTACTTATATAACATTATGCATAGGTCGGTTTCATGATAAAATCTATAAATAAATATTTGTAAGCGATTAGTGACAAGACACCCGACGGGCGACGACTGTTCTTATCTTTACGACTTTACACTAATCGTATAATGTAATAGGGGTATAAATAATAAATATACACAAACGGGCGTTGGAAAATATTATAAACCGGCAGTCGGGCAGTATCGCAGTGAACGCAGAACGTATTATTTTGCCATTTTGATATTTTGGTTGTGCAACGTGGTTACTGTACAGGATTTAAATTTTTCAATCTAACTCAGAAAAAATCAAACTTTTTTGAATTTTTTCACAAAAAAAACAAAAAATGTAAGTAAAATGTTTAATTTGTATTTGAAGATACGTTGTAGGTTGATATAAATATTATGAAAAAAAACAAATTACTGAACTGTATATATGGTTTTAAAATTAATTTTAATACATTTTTAAGACTTCATACTTCGCCGTCGCGTCGCGTCGATTTTATAACATAATATTTATAATATTGTTCATGACTTTTTTATTTTATTGTTTTGACTTTATAATATTTTCCAAAATAAATGCTTATCTATAAATATTGAACCACTTAATCCAATTATGAAAATAAATAAATATTTTTTTATATTAGTCAAACTGCAGTGACCCTATCATTGAAGAAAATAAGAAAACACAGAATATTGTAGTTTTTGAAGAAAAAAAAACAAATTAATAAATCATAGTTACAGACAGAATCTGATTCTAAATATGATATTGGTCTTTATATAAATTGTTCAAAACCTCTAACCAATACAGAAAAAATTTTAATTTTACATAATTTATGGGTTATTTATGTGAATTATAAATTTCTAGCTCAAGATAATGGCAAGTTTAAAGGTACTTTTTAGTTGAAATGGCTTAACACATTTAATTGGTTAGCTTATTCAAAACTGAAAGAAAGGACCTTTTGTATGTATTGTGTACTTTTCTTGTATCAAACAAATGTTGGTAAAGGTTCTCACGTAGATCTGGGCAAACTTGTAGCCAAACTTCTTATTAAATTAAAAGATGCATTAGAATCATTAAAAAATCATGCCAACTTAAATTTCCATAAAACTGCAATGTTAAATGCCGATAATGTAATTAAAATTCATAACAAGGAACAGGATAATGTATATATGCAATTAAATACTAAGAAAAAGCAAGATATTTTAAAAAATCGTTCATCTTTGAAACCTATTATTCAGACTATTCGATTGTCCGGAAGGCAACAGATTGCATTAA